CCTGGAGCACACACACACGCATGGAGAACTCATACACACGCCACACGTGCACACATGCACAACACACCCAACACACCCACCACACGCAACACACACCCACACCATGCACACAAACAATAAAACTATCATGCACAACGCGCAGAGCACACGCAATCCACACATAGCTCACGCCTGGCACACACAACACACAGCACACGCACACAACACACAACACATAACTACACACATACACTTTTGAGTCGGCGGCGCAGGGGGTCCTCACGGGCGGGCAGCAGATGGAAGTGCGAATTGCGATCGAACGTCGTCGAAGGCACATTGTACGAATCGTCGCACACTAAGAAGTGCAGCAATGGTTGCTGTGTTAGAGGAACTGTAAGTCGAAGCGAACCATGCAGCGGCCAGAAATCCGAGGATACCCGATTCGAAGCACACTGAAGCGCAAGCAGTCTAGTGCGAATCCCACCAGCCCTCTGGGCTTAGGTGGTATAGCGCGTTTTTTTTTTTCCCTTCTCTCTTCCATTGAAGCCCCTCCCCCTACCCCCTCCCCTGGGCCTGGACGGGGCGCGCCGCGAGGCCTTAGAGCGTCCAAAACGGCGTCGGCGAGGAAGCCAAAATCATTGGTTTTGCTACGGTTTTGGCCCCATTTTGGCCTCCTGGGGGGGGGGATTCTAATTGAGGAACCTCCTCTTTTTGAGACATGGGGCCCAAGATGGCCCCAATAGGCCCCCCAGCCTCTCCCAAAGACCCTCCACCCCGCCCTTTTTGGCCCAAGATGGCTCCAAGAGAGCCCTAGATAGCCCAAGCTGGCCTTCAAAATGGCCTAAGATAGCCAAGCATGGCTCAAGATCGCCTCCGACAGACCTCCAAGAGGCCTCGATGCAGCCTCACGATGGCCCAAGATAGCCGATCATGGCTGAAGATAGCTTCCGACAGCCTCTAGCCGAGCATGGCTCAAGATAGCCTCCAAGAGACCTCAAGAAAACTGGCAATCAATTATGGTTGGGCTGGTGGGGATACTTTTCGGTCGCGGCCGCGCGACAACGGTCTGGCGGCGAGAGGCAAAGTCCAGGGCAGGCGGCACGATGCGAATTTGCGAACGCTGCCGCCACGTTGGCAAGCCGGTTCGCACCTGCACGACAAGTGCGCAGTTGCACATGCACAAAACAAAATGAACTAAATTCACAAGCGAACGCACATAGGCGCCGCAGTGTGAACCGAAGTGAACAAGCGGCAGAGTGTGCGAGTGCAGCGGAGTGAGTCGCCGGTACGGCGCCAAACTCCTGGCCGCCAGCCCAGCTGGTTGGGAAAATAATACCCGGGAGGCCGGGCTGACCGCGGTGAAACACGAGGCAAAGCGAGCGCGGAAGGCTGAACCACTCAGCGTTCAGTCCTCAGAATCCTCCGCTCAGCCGGGGGGGGCCAACGGCACCAAAACGCATCGAGTCAAGCGCCTGTGGCGGATAGGACCAAGGGTGGACGCGACGATGCGCGGGGGAAACCACAGGCTGTACAGAAGCTGCAACACTCAGAGCAAGGCCCTCCGGAGCACAACTCCCAGTGCCGGTGGAAGCCAGCGACTGCCCAAGCGCCACTGTGCCGTCCTGCCGCGAAGAGGTCCGACGGGATACAGAACCGCCGACATCGCTGAGGGTCGGCCCGTGGGGTGGAGACTTCAGCGCTGCCTGTCAGACGGGCCCCTCTGACGTGGCCACCACGGCCGCCGCGGGCGAGCCCCGAGGGCACGGTCGAGGGACACCCACCGGGCCGAAGCGGCGGGAGGCGCGACGTCCCTCACCGCGGCCAGCCCGCAGCAGAGCCGGGGGGCGTCTCCAGTCACCTGGTGTGCCCAGGGGTGGATGCAACCCGCGGAGAGCACCTTCGCAGTGGAAAGGGGGGGTGCAGCTGACCGCCGCAAGAAACAAATAACTTTGTTTGCTGCTGCACGCCGAGGGCACCTGAGCATGAGGGGGGTGCAGCTGACCGCCGCAAAACACCATTTACATCGTGGGGGTGGCAGAACCTCGCCGCTGCGGTCCCAGCTGGAGTGTGCCAGCGGCAGGACGCGCCTCATGGGGGGGCTCGTGGGCCGCAGCCGTACGCACCGTAGTTCAAGCTGCAAACAGGGGCCTGGGGCTCCGCTGGTGGGGATATTTTTTGGTCGGCGGCTCCAGGACGAATGTCAAGAAGCGGGGCAACGTTCGGGGCGCGGAACGAAGATAATTGGCCGCAGTGGCACTGGTGGGGATATGCGAAGCGTCGATAATTGGCAGCCACTGAATCACCGAAGAGCGGCGTTAGACAGTGAAGCGCATCAAAAACTCTTACAGCTGCCAGACCAGCCGATTGGAGGGATGAAATGCTGACCCAGCACGGCCCGACAAAGCATATGGTATGGTGTGAGCCTACGAGCCGACATCGCAAGCAGCCGCGACAATACATGCAGCAACATCACGACAGCGTGACACAAAGAGGAAACGCGTCGACGATCCGACGCGCCCATGTTCCTTCCGAACTGGGCACACTGGGTACAAGCATGCAAGACAAGACAACATGCAGAAATGACTTCGGGTCTAAATCCACTGTCAAGCCACAGGACTGAACAGCCAGACAGACTGTGAGGTGACCAAAAACCGTGTCTACCGTGCAGCTATAAAGTCACAAACGACGCGGTGAGTCAGCCACCCAGCCAGACACCCGCCGACACTGACAAGCGAGAGAGCAGCCGACCCGACCAAGGGTCAGGCACGTGCGATGCCGCACGCAACAAACTCAGACGAAGCACGCGCTGCGTGAGAGGTCAGCCGCAGTTACAGTATATGGCACCGATGAGCAGAGGGTCGACCACCCAACCGCTGCCGCCATCGCAGACAAAAGTGGGAGAGGGTGAAGAGAAGAAAATTAGCGCGAGGAGACGCGCGGTCATGCCATAGCCGGCACGACAGAGATCGGTCAACACCCTCACACACCACACACATAAACATCCTGCGCATGCGTTTGTATGAGCCTGGGCACGATGTTGCCATTTACATTTCTGGGGTACATCTGCCAGATCGATCTGCGAGGGCCCTGGGGCCTGCGTCCAAGCGAAAACGCCTGCTGCGAACAAAACGCGAAGTCGAGGATCTCCCCCCTCGCGGCCGGCCTCCCTCTATAGGGGGGTCACCGGTCACCACCAGAGGGGAGTCGCCACCCCATGGTCCCTGATCCTCGGTCCAGGGGGGCAGAGATCCTGGGCAGGCCGCATCCTTGTCGCTATTGCCAGGCTGGGTGTTCCGGCGCTCGTGGCTGACGGGTCCGAGGAAGGATAGCAGGTATCGACCGTCGCTCCCGACGGGGTCGCGCGACTGCCCTGCTGGCCCAGGAGCATGGCATGGGTGACACTGAAGGGGCCCTGGGACACACAAGTAAATACACACAAATAAACAGGTTCCCCATATGTTCCCATATTTTCTGGGTTTCTGTCTTCCCCCCCACTGCCCATATTTTCCCATATTTTCTGGGGAATCGGCGATTCATTGTGTCCGTGTGTTTTTTCCCCTCCTGACAAGAGCATGGCATGGGTGACACTATGTTGTTGCCTCCGCTGGGGCCCGCAGGGATCCCCAGAGGGCCCCTGCTTGCCCCATGGCGGTTTGGGGGCGTCGTATGGCGCCCGAGGTGCTCCAGGTGGGCGCTCGACGAGGTTGTGCCTCGTCTGCGGGCCCAGGGCTCTACGATGGCGCCACCAGTGGTGGCGCTACGAGCGCATCCTCCTCCTCCTCCTCCTCCTCCTCCTCCTCCTCCTCCTCCTCCTCCTCCTCCTGCTCCCCCTATGGAAACTGCGTAAGGTTCACGCCCGTGGCCCGTTTCCCGGCGTTGCCGTCACGGGGGGGGGGGGGGGGAGGGGGGGGGTCATATGCATCACCTCCCCAAGTACTAAAAGAACAGCCACCACCTTCCCCCGCCCGCCCTCCCTGGCTGCTTTTTGGGAAAACCACAGGGCACCGATCCCCGCTACTCCTCGGACCCCTCGTTGACTAGGATCTCGGAGCGAACCCGGCGGTGGTGACGAGTCTCCGAGAAGGCCCAAGAAGGGGAAGACGGGCGGAGCGTAGCAGTATGGATACCCTTTCCTCCTCTGAGGCCTGGTGAGTCGGCCGGTTGGGGTCTCGAGCGCCATGTGCCGCACCAAGTGCGCTGTACAACGATCCGTGCGGGTGCACTGGACCATCCCTGGGGGAAGCAGCTCACTGGAAACCGTCCTCGAGGGAACGGACCCTCTGGATCCCCCGCCCCCCCAGGACTCGCAAGGAGGACCACGAAACCTACAAAACCTTGTCGATGCTCGACCCCCCCTGCTCCGCGATCCTCGGTTTCCAGGAGGAGCTGGTGGCCCCACTGGTGATGATGGTCCCTTGGCACTGCCCGATCCCTCCTCCTTCCGAGCCCCCGGCCAGCCTCCCTCCCGGCTGGCATCCCCCCGCCTGGCCGGCTTCCCTTCTTCCAGGACCCCCGACGACCTGATTTTTCCACAACGTGGGGCCTCAGATGTCTCGACCCCTCACCCACGACTGACTTTTGATCCCGAGCCGCTTTTGGCGGGGCCCCAGGACCAGTTGAGCGCCCGAAGAAGCCTAAGCTTGTCCAAACAAAAACCATGCCAAGACATCCGACGACATGCTTTCTGTCCTCCATGCGCTGCCCCGAAATGTCCCGACCACTTCCCTGGGGCCAGTCTCCCGCCCCATATTTTTCTCCGATGGCCTGGGGCTTGATGACGGAGCCCAGGGTCCGAAATCGAGTAAAAACGTCTGGACTGAAAAAAAAAAACACAGGTCGTCGGGGATCAGGGTGCCGCAATTGCCTCTCGACTTCAGAAGAAGAGAGCTTGGGCCCCTCCTGGCCGCACCGGATCGCCAGGAAGCCGAAATCGAACCGGATGGGTCGAATCGACATGGGCCCCTCCCCCGGCGGAAGGCGACCCGCCCTGCTGCTCGGGGCGCCCCCCCCACCCGGGGCACCGCCGCGTAGCCGATGGACGCGGCCGGTTTCCGCAGGCGCAGCCGGGACAGGCTGGAAGCGGCCTCGCAGAAAGGGGGAGGGGAGGAAGGAAGGGAGGGAGGGAGGACGAGGAGGGAGGGACAGAGTTCCTCCTCCCTCCTCCTCCCTCTTCTCTCTCTCCGCCCTCCCTCCTCCTCCTTCCTTGGCCTCCTCCCCCTCGTCGGCAAAAGGGCCGTTCGGGTGCCGCTCCTGTTTATTAAAGGTGCCGACTAAACAGCTGGTGAGAGTTGGGAGCCCAAGTCGCGAGAGGGGGACTTCTTAGTCAGCGGCCGCGGGCGAGCGCGCCGGCGGCGAGTCAGGTCAAAGCGGGCGACGCAGAGACGAATTAGGCAGAGGCAACGCGAGACAAAGAAAGCAGAGGCGACGCGCAGGGCAACGGCTGCGCGCCGGCCGGGGCCTCACGCAGCGGCCCAACGGCGGGTGGACGGCAGCGAGAGGGGGACGCGCAGCGCGGCGAAGCGCACAGGACCCAGGGAGGACGGGCACAGAACGGCCCGGGGCCCGTTGGGCAGGAGGTCGAGCTCCGACGCGCGGCGACGGGCCGCTGCCTCGCGCACGAGCCTCCCGAGGTCCCGGGCTTCGCTGTCGGAGGGGCCAAGAAGGGCCAAACCTAGTTCCCCTCCTCCTCCTCCTCCTCCTCCTCCTCCTCCTCCTCCTCAGGCAGGGAGGCTCCTTTTTCCCATCATTATGGGTGGGACCCTTGCTGTCGTGGAACACCCTCTCGTTGCCACCTTCCCCTCCTCTCAATCTCCTCCTCCTCCTCCTCCTCCTCCTCCTCCTCCTCCTCCTCCTCAGCCTCCTACTCCTCACAAGAACTCCACACTCCCTCATGCGAGCTCCACGTCCTTTTCTTTTGCAAGCTCCACCATTTCACCAGTCCCTCGCGTGCCATAGCATTTACCATCTACCCTGATACGTCCCAGCGACAAGATATAGGGGCACAACATGATTGACCAAGCTTCTAGCCTCCTCACCAGGCTCACCAATAGCACATACTCTACCTCCAAGGAAGCCGTGTCGGACTGGGTGGGCTATGCGCAACCCGTCTTGTTTATTGGGGATGTTGCCCTCCAGCCTCCAACAACCTCACCAATAACACAAATTCTACCTCCAAGGATGCCGTGTCGGACTGCACGGGCTATGCGTAACCCGTTTAACTTATCAGAGGTCGTGTACTCCAGCCTCCTCCAGCCTCTCTGGTAGCACAGCCTCTGCCTCCAGGGAGGCCGTGCCGGCCTGCGTAGGCTATGCGGCTATGCAAAATCCATCCGATTTCCAAGGAGTCCCAGCTAGACCGCGGCAGGTCTTCTGTATTCTGCCATCTCTTCTTGTTCGTTCCTTCCCCTCCCTCCCTCCCTCCCTAAGTTTCGCTCTCCTCGTCCCACTCCCTCGCTATCTCCCGACCAGTTCGGATCATGATGATGATGATGATGATGATGATGATGATGATGATGATGATGATGATGATGATGATGATGATGATGATGATGATCATGCTGATGATGTTGATGATGATGTTGATGATGATGATGACGGTGATGATGATGGTGGTCATGATCGTGGTGATGATAGCGACGAAGACCAAGATGATGATGATGCTGATGACGATGATGATGGATGGTGATGATGACGGTGATGGTGGTGATGATGCTGCTAATGATGATGGTGATGATGATGGTAATGATGGTGATGATGCTGATGCTGCTGATGATGTTGATGATGATGATGATGATGATGATGATGATGATGATGATGATGATGATGGTGATGAGGATAACGAGTTGTTTATCAAGGTTCGTAACCTCCCTACTGAACCAGTCCCACCAATACCACATTTCCTCTTCTTGGGAAGCCTTGTCGGACCGCGCGTCAGCGGTGCCCCCCTCCCCCGCTCCCGCCTCACGTACCAGTGCCGTCAGATTGCCCGGGGGGCCCCACTAGACCGCGGCAAACCTTCTGGATTCTCCCGTCTATTCTTGATCGTCCCTCTCACTCCTTCCCTATCTCTCGTTCTCCTCGTCCCACTCCCTGTCCCCATCTCCCGTGTCCGTCCTGCTCCTCCTCATTGCCTTCCTCTGCCCTTCCATGTGTGCATACCAGTATCATAGGCCATAGGCCTCCCATCATATCGCTACTGTTGTGACTCATTGAGCTCGCGAAGCCCTTCATACCCTTGTGTGGGGAACTCCGAGAACATGTTTGTGTTGCTGGAGACGGGGCTTTTGAACTGGCCCAGCGAAGGCTCTACGACTTCGCCGGAAGCGAGAGAGTGGCCAGCGGCCCGCTCTGTGAGCAACGCAGCTCCAGCTGCGGAGGCGCCGTTGCGGCGCACTCACGCGGCTCCGTAGCGCGCGTGGTCCTCGCGAATCTTCACGAAGAGGTCGAGCATGCCGAATATGCGTTGGTTGCCCTTCTCCGACGCCCGGAAGGCGGAGATCAGGCGGTCCAGGTCCGCCAGGCGCAGGTCCACGCCGCGCTGCTGCGCGCGCACGCCGAGCCGCTTCCAGGCGACCTCGTGCGTCACGGAGCGCGCCGCGAAGAACTCCGTGAGGACCAGCAGCGTGTCCGCCCGCAGCGACAGGCCCTTGCGCGCGACAAAGTCCACCACCTGGTAGGCCGGGCGCGGGTCGTCCACCCGCAGCCGGAGCAGGGCGCCGGCCAGCTCCGCGGCCATGTCCTGGTTGAAGGTGTGGTCCAGGCGGAGCAGCCGCGACTCCTCGCAGAGCACCTCCACCACCTCCTTCGGCGGCAGCCACCGGAGCTGCCCCAGCGTGGCCCAGATGCCGGTGAGGCCCTGGGCGGCAAAGGGCATCGCCTTGACCGCCATGCCCTCGGTCATCAGCAGCAGCAGCCACTCCAGGAAGTGGCGGTCCTCTGGCGTCAGCCTTGCCACGGCCTTGAAGAGCATGCAGAGGTCGTGGCTGGAGGCGCTGGCGGGGCCCTGGCCGACCAGCTTCTTCCGGGCCGCCAGCTTCAGCGACACCACCTCGGGGGGACTGGCGCGGTCCACTGCCGAGAGGGCCCAGGCGAACATGGCCAGGTCTGCCAGCGCGAACTCGGCGGCCCTTGCCTGCATGGCCTGGCCGAGGGCGGCCCAGCTCTCCTGATCGTTGACCAGCGCCCGCCCCAGCGCCCAGGCAGACAGCGCGACGTGCTTCGGGGCCATCAGCGGCAGGCGCGCCGCCATCAGGGGAAGCAGCTGCCACACTGCTGGGGCGTAGCCGAGGACGCCGTACCGGTGGAGCAGGAGATGGACGCTCTCGGCGAACATGCCGTCGGCCTCCTGCAGGAGGCGCTGGTTATATCGCTGAAACAGCGGCATGCTCGTGCTGAAGCGGCGGCGCATGGTCAGCAGCGTCAGGGACGCCAGCCAGTCCCGCTTCGTGAACTCCTCGGCCCTCTCCAGGCAGAAGTCGAGGAAGTCCCCGGCCTCCTCCAGCGCCGCCATCTCGCGCGCCAGCGGCGTGTCCGCCTCCCACCGCAGCACCTTGGCGCCGCGGCTGGCGCCCGGCGGGGCCGCCGCGAGGAGCGGCCCCCAGGGGCACGCCCGTGGGGCGCCGCCGCGCCGCCAGGCCGAGCTGCCCGGCTGCAGCGCGCGGCCGGCGCGCCCACCGCGCGCCCCCCGCAGCACGCAGCTCGCCATGTTCGGGCGGGTGGTGAGTGAGAGGAGGGGGCGGGGGGGCGACCTGCACTGGGAGGAGGAGGGGGTGGGGAGGAGGAGGGGGTGAGTGAAAAGGGGGGGGCAAGTGAGAGGAGGGGGTGGGGAGAGGAGGGGGTGGGGGTGGTAAGTGAGAGGAGGGGGGGGGGTGGGGGGGGCGACCTGAGCCGGGGGAGGGTGCAGAGAAGGGCCCCGAGAAGGGGCCCTGCAGAGCCCCCCATTTTGGGAGCCAGCAGGGGCCCACGAGGGGCCCGAAGGGGCCCTCTTCTCCACCCCCACTTTGGGCCACCCCGGCGCCCCCCAGTGCCATTAAGTCGGGCCTGTCCCCCTACACGGGAATTTTCGACGAAAAATAAAACATACCCCCAAAATAATCAAAAAACAATCCCAAAACAGTCTGGGGACTATTTTCTGTGTATGTCTTGACCTTTTTGGAACATTTTGGGGTATCTCTGATTTTTCGTCGAAGCTCCCTCTGTAGGGGGACAGGCCCGACCTAACACTGCCACCCGCCCGACCTGTGGCGGCGCGTCACCCGCCCGCGGCGGCCCCCCTCGCCGGCATCGCCGCCGCGCAGAGAACGCGCCCGGGGCGACCGCCGCAGCAGCGGGGGCCGAGGCGCGCGCCCGCGCCCCCGCGGCCGCGGCCTGCCGCAGGTCTTGGAGACGGAGCGGCTGCGGAGAGGGGGGAAGGGGGGAGGCACGGGGCCGACAAACGGCAGAGATCCAGCGCATTGAAAAAATCAAGTCGGAGGTTTTTCGCAAATTTCTGCCCCTATAGGGGCCCTCGCCGGGCCTCGGGACCGTCAACAAAACGACTCGGGATGAAAAACCGGTCCTGGGGAATGGGTCGAGACTTCCGGGGACCGCGCATTGAAAAAATCACGACGTCGGATCTCTGGGGTGCTCGACCTGGAACACCAGGACGGCGACGGGCGGCGCCGGCTCGACGTCGCGGTCCTGCACTCGGCCGCGGGAGCACCAGGCCGAAGTCCGCGCGGCAGCTCGCCGGGGGGCATGCAGGAGGAGCTTTCCCCCCCCGTGGGTGAGCAGCGCCCTGGGGCCCGGGCGAGCCTGTGGGGCCCCCGCCTTCGCGTGGCCGCCTGACCGCTGGGGGGCCCTGTGAAGGTCCTTCGCTGCCTTGGAGTGCCCTGGCCACACGCGGGCATGGACGAGGAGGGGGAGGAGACAGAGAGAAACAGAGGTAGGGAGGCGGGGGACAGGGACGAGTAGACGGAGGAGGGAAGGGAGGGAGGAAGATGAGGAGGAGGAGAAGGAGGGAGGAGGGAATAAGGGAAGGGAGAGCGGAGATGAGAGGAAGGAAGATGCGGGAGAAGGATGAGGGGATGTGGAGCACCGCAAACTGTGTCACGACGGTCGGCTGTCATACAACAAACGACTTGCGATGTGTCATTCTAGCATTGCGAGTGGGAGTAAGTTGTCCGCCTTCATTATCTCAACATCAATTCTGAAAGGGGGATGCGAGATAGGCGCCTCCTTGCCAATATGTAGGAACTTGTTAACCAGCGTGGAAGCAAAACTGTGAGCTACAACGCTGTGAAGGTGAAAGCTATGCAATATAGGCTATACGGTGCAAGCTATGTTGTATACTATTCCCCAGACAGTGCTTGCACCGAGGGGTTCTCCATGGCCTTCGAAAGAACTGGGCCCGCGGGCTGCTCTGGCCGCCCTATGGCCGCCATCGCCGCCTCATAGCCGCCTCGTCGCCGCCCGTCGCCTAAGCCTGCTGGGCGCTCTGGCCGCCATGAGGCCGCCGTCGCCGCCTCGTCTCCGCCCGGTTCCTGGGCCTGTGGGCCGCTCTGGCCGCCATGAGGCCGCCGTCGCCGCCTGCCGCCTTGTCGCCGCCCGCTCTGCATTGCTTCGCATTGCTTCGCATTGCTTCGCATTGCTTCGCGTTGCATAGATTGCACCACAGATGCGTGTTGCACTGCATCGTTTGCACCACTTCGATTGCACCACATGTGCTGCACCGCACTGCTCTGGGGCCCACAGATGCCTACCAGGTGCTGGTAGGCTGTCTGGTATGAGTTGCGTCGTGCAAGCTATGCGGTGCAAGCTGTGGTGGTGTGAGCTGTGCTCGGGAAGCCCACCCGTCGCACTGGGCGCCCACGATGCGCCCACGAGCCAGCACGGGCCCGAGCGTGGCAGAGGACATAGGATAACGCATCGGCTTCGAAAGGGCAAGACGAGTATAGGGCCGTTTTGAACACATAGGATGTGTTTTTAAACACATGTTTTTTTTGTTGTCATACATGGTTAACTTAGGAATACATGTATGCATGAACTCATCGTTGCTTCTAATGCTAAGTCCCTGCATTTGTAATACATGACCCGCACGCGGAGCAGGTATAAAAAACGGCACTGTAGGATAACGCAGCGGCTTCCAAACGGGCAGGACAAGCAAGGACCCCGACGTGCCAGCACGAACGATCTGGGGAAGGAAGCTCCCGATGGAGGCGGCTCCCTGCTCAATGTGTGGCGCTCGTCCCTGCGACGCGCGCGCTCGCACGCGAGGCTGCCCCCAGCTGCACGGAGGGATCACTGCGCCTCTTCGAGAGATGGCTCTCGCTCGGGACCTCCCGAGGGCTGCCAGCCCACAGCTCGAACGCGCACGCCGGTCGCACGGGTGGAGGCCGCCTGCCCTCAAAAACGGGGCTGTCGCTCGAGACCTCCACCATGCAGACGACCACACCCTTCAGGCGCGCAGCAGCTGCACCAATGGAGGGCCGCCTCTGCTCGCCAACGGGGCCCTCGCCGTGACAAATCTCGAGGGGCCCCGGTCTGAATGGCGAGCCCATGGGGCGCTCGTCTTCCCAGGGCACGCTGTTCGCAGAGAAGCGAATGCTCACAAGGGGCATCTAAGGGGAGGACTTGGAACAGGAGGGTATGCTGCAACATCGTTGGCGCACCCTGGGCTACTCTGGTCCGCCTCCCCCTGCTCCTCCTCCTCCTCCTGCTCCTCCTCCTCCTCCTCCTCCTCCTCCTCCTACTCCTCCCTCCCTCCCTCCCTCCCTCCCTCTCTCCCTCCCCCCCCTTCCCTCCCTCGTCGATGAGGAGGCCCCTGGACGTCTACCGAGGCCTCTGGAGGCCCCCAGGGAGGCGCCTGGACTCCAGAGGCCCCCCCAGAAGGGCTCTTGAGGCCTCTGGTGGCCCGAAGTCTCGATCCGCCTCGATCCTCGACCGAAGCAACACGATCCTCGATGCGCACCCTAAAACCAGTGGCAGGCCCAGAGACCAGAAATCTCGTTCTGCACACCTCGTTCTTGTCAAGTCCACTGCTCGCGCAATCATCCCACCCTCGCACCCGCAACTTGTTCTGCAGAACCGTGCGGCCGCAAAAAGCGGTGACTGCGTGGCCCTGGCTGGCGCATCTCTGCGGCCGCGCTGGCGCGCGCAAGCTCGCGCGCAGAGAGGCCCGCTGGCTCGGCACAATTGATGCGGCCGCGATGGCGCTTGCCGATGGGAACCTCCCACCGCGTCGCAGAGCCCGCTAAGGCCGCGATTGGCGATGAGGATTTCGGCGGTCATGCGATGGCGCTGATTCTGGTGGTGGCGGGGAAGTGCGCACGCGCAGACGGGGGGAGAAGAGCGGGTGGCGCCTATCTCCTCTTGACAGGAGAACAGAGGGGCGCGCAGTCGAGGACCAGAGGACGACACGACAAGCCAGGGGCCATGGAGAGCTGCAGGACGACCCGGGGAGCCAAGCACCCACGGCAGAGTGCGGCAGCCGGGCCCGCAGGAGACACCAGAAGGCCGCCGAAGGCTCCACGAGCCTCGCGAAGCCGGGCACCGCGGGCCCGTGCGGCACGCGGGGCCGCATGAGACCACCTGAAGCAACACAGGGCCAAGCGCCAACGGGCCAGTGCAGCACACAGGGCTCTATGAGGACGCCATACAGTCGGGGCCTTGACCTAAGGAACCCCAAATAAGGAACGGGCCCCCTTTTTTTCCATACGTTAAACTTCGATTTCCGATCGAAAACATAAGGAAAACCTGGGGCAAGCTGCGAAACACTTAAGGAACGCGGAGCCCCTCCCCAACGACAAGGGTTCCTTCTTCAGGGCCCCGACCGTAAGAGGCCAAGCATTCACGGACGAGGGCGGCACCAAGGGCGATAGGAAACCATGGGAGGCCATGGAGACCCAGCGGAGGCCAATCACCCACGGGCACGTGCTGGACACCCACGGTGGCCACGCCAACGGAAGCCAATCACACACGAGCACGGAGGCCAGCCCCCAAGGGGCCGTGGATGGACACCCAGGGGGCGAGTGCTGCACTCGGTCAGGGCCACGGGAGGTCGTAAGAGGCGTGGGGAAGCATACGAAGGGGCCCCAGGACACACACACATAAATACACACAAATTCGCCGGCCCAACGGGCCAGAGGCGTGCTAAGATCTCCGGTGACTGCTCAACAATATTTCTAGTTCGCGCGCGCGGGGCGGGCCCTGGGGGTCCCCGGACGAAAAGTACCCCGGCAAGGCCCCGGCAAACTCCCGGCAGACTCCCGGCAGACTCCGGGCAAGGTCCCTTTTCGGAGCCCAGGACGGTTCCAACCAAGACAGGCCCGAGAAGCCCTCCAGACGGTCCAAGAGAGCCGGGAGACGCCGAAATATCACCCCCAAGCGCCTGCGATGGCCTCAAGACGGCCCAACAGGCCTTCAAGACGCCCCAAGAGGTCCCTAAGCGGCGCCCCAATAGGGCTCCCACAAGCAAAGATCGTCCCATTCCCTTGGGAAAACGTACATGTTTAACATATCCGCCTCTTCGTCTTTCACACCTTTCAAGGCGGTCCAAGAGGCCCCCAAGATCACCCCAAGACGGCCCGAGAGACCCTCAAGACCGCTCAAAGACGGCCCAAGAGCGCTCCAAAAAGGCCCAAGAAACCCTCAAAAACTCTTTTTCGG